ACAGGTTTACATTATTTATCTATGTTTTTACATGCAACCAGACAGAAACTTTAATTTTAGCATTATTTATATGCTATTATTGTATTTAGCTTTTATTTCTAGAATTTCATTTCAATTTTAAGTTTAGTTTAACTTTTAGCAATTTTATGTGCTTTTGGCTTTTTTTTTTTTGTATTTTATTAAATAATTCTATTTAGCTTTAATTGATTTTTCAGTTAGTAAAACCTAAAAGTATTTTAATTTATTTTATTTCATTTAGTTGCCAAGGCAACATTCCTAATTTTATTTTAAAGTTTTCATCTAAAATGTTTACTTTATTTTATTTAAGCTTTATTAATGAAATTAATGAAAATATTTTTAATAGTTTTAGTTGTCGTCTCCTTTTTTTGTCTTATCATCTGAACATGTTCATTTTATCATGGAAACTTGTGCGAATGTTATTTTACAGACAGAAGCATGAGAAACAGCTATGTGTGTGTGTGTTTGTACCTCTGGGCCTGCTCTTGCTCGACTGCCATGGCTTTCTCATGGTTCCACTGCTGTTTGACGCTCTCCGTCTTGTGTCTCCGCCGGCTCACGCGACTGTCCTCGACACGCTCTGGTACGATGTCATCCGTCGTCTTCGGACTGCCAAGCTCAGAAGTCTCTGGTTTACTCTACCAAACACACACACACACACACACACACACATCATAAGACCGATAACTGGCAGCAGACCAGCAAACATAAAGCCCAATCATTCTCCAGCGTTTACGCTTCACTGAGTCCAGATCAACCGCATCATGCTGACCATCAATGCAGTTTTGGAGGCGTTGACAGTCATAATTAATGAGAGTAATTTGCTGTTAATGGAGACTGCACATGCTGAGTGAGCGCACGCACCAGCATTTCCCAGAAGCTGCGGCGCGTGGTTTTGCCGGTGGGTGTGGTGGACTCGGGCGTGCTGGTTCCAGCGGTCGGGGTGGAGCTGGGCACAGAACTCAGGCTGATGGGAGACGGGCTGCTCTTGAGCCCATGAGCTCCACTGGGCCGCCGAACGCTCTCCTTCACCTCCTTACTGTCAGACTGCAGGAGACTCAAGGCAACTACAGCCACACAACACACAAGATCAAAAACAAACAAAAGACTCTTCTGTTCACCAATGCTGCATTTATTTGATCAAAAATACAATAAAGAAACAGTAAAATTGTGAAATATTATTTCAATTTAAAATAACTGTTTTTCATGTGTATATATTGTAAAATGTAATTTATTTCTGTGATGTGCAGCTGAATTTCAGTATATATATATATATATATATATATTAACCGAAATCTTTTGTAATGTTAAAAAATGTCTTTACTGTCACTTTTGATCAATTTCACACATCCTTGCTGAATAAAAGGATTGATTTCTTAAAAAAAAAACAAAAAAAACTTAATCTTACTGATCCTAAAAATTCAAATAAATTTAAATTTTATTTTATAAAATTGTATACAATTAGAGAGTTTACTAATTAAAAATGAGAAATTGTAAAAAAAATTTTAAAAACATATCTAATTACAATGCCTACAAAACTTATTTCCAAATATTTAAGTAGACTCCTTCAGACAAGCAGATGTTTTATCATGTGAAACATAATTTTAGTGAGTTATATTTAATATCAGTTAGTGATTTTTTTCTTGTTCCAATGTTATTTTAGTATTATTGAGATATTATTACAGTATTATTGAGCTATTACAGAGATATTGTTGATATTTTATTATTATAGTATTATTGAGGTTATAGTTTCTATTAAAATTTTTAATCAAGTTTTTTTTTAAATATATTTTCTGTTTTCATTTTAATTTTAGTTTTAGAAATGTTGCTGTGTTTTTGTCATTTTTAGAAGTTTTTAATACACGTGTATATAGCTTTTATTCATTTTTATTTCAGTTTTAGTTTTAGATTTTTTAGTACATCAAGTTTAGGACAAAAAAAATGTCTTATTTTATTTCAAGCAAAGAAATTTGTTTTCCACTGGAAAACTGACAATATATTAAAACAAAAAACTATAAAGGCCCAGATATACTTCAAACGAAATCGAAGAACAAACTGAAATGACGTCATTTAGAACAAAATCAGGCCGAAACTAAGTTCGTTTTGGCAGTTCGAAACAGCTCACCAAAGTGAACTTTTTGGGGGAGTTCGTTTTGCCTCCTAAACACCTTTGAGCTACCATTGGTCCGTGGCGATTACGCAGTCGGTGGGTGTGTTCTGGAACTCCACCTTCTTTGACGTGCAATCCCCCCCTTTTTTTTTTGCCCTCAAACGAAGAACGAAAAATAACTTCTTTTGAAGTATATCAGGAGCTGTCAATCTCCAAAATGCATCATAACAGTAGTTCATACATTGCATACATTGCATGAGCTGCTCACCTGTGCTCTCGTCCCGCTGGGCGGCTGCAGGAAGGCAGAAGGTGTCCAGACACAACGGGTTCGGCAGCACGCGCATCTCCATGAGGATGTCGCAGAGGGCATGGCGTAGAGCCGCCCGGAGCCGGTCGGTCAGCTGCAGCGGGCTGATGTTACCCTGCTCCCACACGTCGAAGCGCACACACACGGCTGCACCTGCGCACAGGCGTCCCAGAGCTCACACACACCTCACACACCGCTACTGTTAACACTGTGTGTTTGCTAAAGCATCTCAACCTGAGCTCTGGCTGACGACAGTCGTCAAGGCCTCGAACTGGTCCGGCTGGAGGGAGATGCTGGAGACGTCTCCTCTGAGAGCCGGGCCGCTGCCGTCCTGAGCGGGAACCTGCAGCGCGCAGCCTTTAGCGTCCATGAACGACAGCGCGATGCAGGCGATACCTGGGGAGAGCAGAGTTAGAGGACAGCGTGATGGAGAACAGAACTAAACGAGCTCGACAGAACTGAATGAATGATGCAAACAATAACGCAAAACTCACATGAAAGCAATAAATTCTGCAAGAGATGCATGCTCATATGTCTCTTCAAACAAAGCCACTTCTACGCTCAAGGGGTTGATTTAAAACCAAAAGATTTTTTAACTGAAGGTCACATTAAATTGTTTTTTTATCTTCATTTACTTTGCTTCTTTTTCAAATGCCTTTTGTATACAAGTCTGATTACCCTCGACACAGCCTTGCAATCATACATTTTTGAAACTATAATCATTTTATTTAAAGCAACAGATTTTTTTTCTAAAGGTAATATTAAATATGTCTTTTATGTATTTAACATATTTATAAATTATGTTTCTTCTTTTTAAATAGATTTTATGTACAGATCCAATTATCCTTGATAAAAACACAACCTTTCAATCATAAAATATACAAAAAAAAAAAAAATTGAAACGATGATAAAAAAGTTAAATAAACCATTTCAATATTTATTATTTAAAAATGTATTTAATTTTTACAAAAACTATGCTGTCTTTTACAAAACATTTTTCCCCCAATGTTTTTTTTTCTCCCAAGTTATTAACTTGTTCACAAAAATAAATATATGTGAGAAGAACTAAATTAAAAAGAAATCCAATTAAATATCTGCGAAGAACATTCTTTCTTGGGTGTCATTTCTAATCAAGCTGTAGTTTATGCAAAAAGTATAAAAATGTCATTAAATTGTGTTTATTTAGGACATACAACTGCTAGCTATGAAAATACTGACTGATTCTATTCAAAACATGTCATTTCCATACAGAATATTATAAAGCACAATACAGCATTTGAGATGTGGTGAAAATGACATGGTCGTGGAAATGATCATGATTTGCAAAAACAAAGAGAAGACAAAAATGACAGAATTCCTCTGTAATTTTTCTGTATACAATGTTGGACATTGTTAATATGCAAATAAAATAAACAAATTAAGGCAGTTGACACTGACAGAGATTTTAAGAATAAACATAAGATGAAAAACTTCAAAGAAAAAATGAAATAAATAAATAAATGTTGCCTTGGCAATTAACTAAAATACAAATGACAAAAAACTAAAACTAAAAAAAAAGCTAAATAGAAATATTAAAAAAAGGACTAAAGGATATAAAATTAAAACTAAAATTAAACTCATATTAAAATTAATTTTTATCCCACTGTCAAAGCAAACATATAAAGTGTGTTTTAAGAGAGTTTATTTTCTGAAGGTCCACAAGGCTGAACATTCCCATACTTGTAGAAACACCCATATGCAGCCTTAAATTATCTAAACACAACGATATTTCAGAAAACAATGCCTCTACTTGAGTACGCACTCTCATAAATCCTTTAAATGGGTTTTTATGCTGTTGTATTGACTCGGTTATGCTGTTTACAGCATGAAGCCAGGAGGCCTTGGGAAGCCGCGGCTCTGATAAGCGCAGAAAGAGAGAGATTTCCATCATTAGATTGTCAGAGATCGATGGCGCCTTCGCTCCAGTGGTTGTGGCTATAAAAAAGCCTCGCAAACAGAATGGCGGTCGCATTAAAAGGCATTAGCAGCAAACAGTGGAGCGTGAGCGGGGATTTATCCAGCTGGTTGTATTAGCGCATGCCGTTAGCGGTTTGAGGCGTGATCGATGTGTGAGTGTGTGTGCCAGATTTCAGATACTAATGCACCGCACACAATCACCTGAGATAAATGTGCATCTGTGCTCTCACATGCTAAAGTGTGCATGCATTTTGCATTAATGTGGATGCATGCATGAAAGTGTGTGTTCAGTCTGAAACATAAGCTACATAAGTACATGAGCTTAAACGCTTCCATCCAAGCAAGCTCAATTTCATGCATGCCGTTTTTGAAATACGTCAGACTGCGATTCATAATGCAACGCAAGTACGTGTTGCTTTCATAGCAGTGCCAATCAATGATCGGCTTCTCAGCATCGTGGCCTCTCATCTAAGAACTCCATTTGCAGTGATCTTTTAAGTGCACTTGATGAGGTGTGATGTGGCGTGGCGTGACCCGCGCGGCCCCTGCGCTCCAGAGAGACTGCATGAGGACAGAGAGAAGGGCCCTTCAGTCTCTGCTGGACTCTGGAGCTTTAGACAGACAGATAGAGTGATCACGGAAGTCACGTTCTGATTTATAATGACGGCGGTCAGCGGCAGAGAGCGTGAATGAGATGATTTTACACTCTGAAGTGCCTGAATACAGACGATCTGATCCCTTATTATACACTGCACAAAATTATCATTTTATCTGTCCGTTGCAATGAGAGATGTTCAAAAAGGAGAATATACTTATGACAATGCATGCAATCTTACAGGAAAATACTCTTTTTTTTGTGAGTCACCTTAAATTTCTGTTGAAAAATCAGTAAAAGTGTCTGAATTACTTAATACAGCAAATAACCAAAATGTATTAATAAATAGTTTCTATGTTCATTTCTACATGCTACTGATGTGTTTTGTCGTTAAAAGTTATATACCTCAACATGGACCCTTTTCACAAGACTGTGATGACTCGTTTAACGGTCATCAGCATCGTAAATCCTCCAAAGTTTTTCATATTTGTATTTTTTTTTTAAATGTATGTACATCAATAAAACTATTCTCTGTATTTTATTACCTTTGCATCAAATTACAAAAAAAAACAAAAAAACTAGTTAACGCTAATGCAGCGTCTATGGGAGGGACGGTAAATTTGACATGGTTCTCTCTTCTGTTCTCTCAACTTCTTCCTTTTTTTGAAAGTCACGAAAAAACTATAGTGGAGTTCTTCTTTTGCTATTTGAGCAAATGGGAATGCAAAAAATATATTTGTGGTACTCTCCCATTCACTGCTCTTCAAGTTAACCCAACTATGGTGACTTCCGCTGCTGAGAAAACCGGAAATGTGAAAAAGGTCCATTAGCAATTTCATTATGTACTAACATGAATAATAAGCAACTAGATAAATGTAAAAAGAAAAAAACACTAAAATAAGCTGTCGTTAATGTTAGTTAATGCATTAACAAAACTTAAACAATGAGTACTACATTTGTTACAGTATTTATTAATATTTGTTAACATTAGTTAATGAAAATACAACTATTCTTTGTTAGTTCATGTTAGCTCGGGTCTTTTAAATGATATCAACAGATACAAATTATGATTTTAATAATGTATTAGTAAATGTTAATTTAACATGAATTAACAATAAAGAATATTTTTAAAGCTGTCAGCAATCTTAGTTAATGTTAACCAATGTGGTTAACTAATGTTGCTTAAAAGTGTTATCATTTTTTTTTCTAAGTTGCACACAATAATGTAAACGTTGTATGGTGTTACATGCAAAGATACACTTTTCATACAATAAATATTTCAAATGAACTATTAACAGCATTTTTTGCTTTTGTTCCTCTTTTTTTAAGTTGCATTGGATAAAAGCGTCTGCTAAATGCACATATGTAAATCTATAATGTGACTTTACAAAATAAAAAGAAAGGTTAATAATAACAATAAACTGAATTTATTTTCTGTGGTAATCAACATTATGCCATTTTTACTAAACCTGGAACTTCCCTTCAAAAGAAGTAAAGGATTTATCGATTCTCTCCAAATAAATATGTGTAAATGAGACACGCTTTAAATTCCCACTACAAGACACAGGATTTCAATTAGCAAATAATGCAACGCATACCATTTCCAACATGTACAGTAATGCCGATTAATATTCATTATAATTTGAAAGGCAGGAGGACCACGGTCACTTAGGACCATGCTGTATAATTAGATTTGTATAACATAAAACACCAAATGAAAGCAGAAGATGCGTGTAACACACATGCAGCGCATCTCATGCAGGTGTGAGCAGGATCTGCTTCAGGAAAAGCTCATCTCTACAACAAAACTGCCAAAGAAATGAAATCACTCAAGCTAGCGGCTTAATAAAAATTTTTCCCCACTGATTTCAACCCCTGAACACGTTTTTATTAGCATTTGAAAACTTGTGGGAACAACGAACAGTGACCAATGAGCTCCAATTCACACAGAGGAACTTACAGGCCCTATTGTCTCCAACTTCAATATGGATTGGTACTTCATAAACTTAATGGCACATACTGCAAATTATACCGCAAGATGTCAATTGTGGTCTTTGGTGATCGTTTACACAATGCTCCTTTTCTCAGTAAGCTTCACACTGACAGACCGCAAAAATTAGTGTCAGAAGCTTTCAATATTAGGTTGGTATTTGGCCAGCTAGCATAAAGGAACAGTTCACCCAATCAAAAAACATACATTTAAAAGTAAAGTCCGTTTCTCTCACATCTCATTTGCATTCACCTGCATAGCGATGCAAACAATCTGTAATTAAAAAAGCAATACAGTTTAACATTCTGCAAATATCAGATTCAATTTCCATCAGATCCTTACAAAAAAAAGTTATAAAATGACTTCAAAAGACTTGGAATATAGTACACAGGTCAACTTCCTTCCTGTGATGCTTTTTATCATTTTGGGAGCCCTTTCAATTTCATTATTTGGAAAGCGCACCTCAGAGATCACGTTAAACTGCTTTTTTGTGTTCCACAGAAGAACAAAGGTGAGTTTGGGTGAGTAAATGATGACAGAGCTTTCATTTTTGGGTGATCTGTCCCGTTAAGCCATGATCACGTGACCATGCAGTACCACACTCAGCCAGTGGGGGCGCCACAGGACACACAGCACAACAGTGAAGAGGCTGGAGGCTCTTATACCTTGAAACTGAGAGGTTGGGAAGAGATTCTGAACAAGGTCCGACATTGTACCTGAGGCACAACAGACACCCACAGACAGAAATGATGAATGACAGACACCAACTCAATGATCAACCAATGAGCAGTGCTGGGGAGTGAAGAGTACGCTAACTTCAAGTTACAGCGTGCAATTTCTCTGCCACTAGCAGCACTTAATGAAACTACACTTTAAAACTAGCACTTTCAAGAAGCAAAATTCATGTGAGCAAATCTGTTTGTTAGGTTAATTTCAATTAACCAGCAAAAAAAAAAAAAAAAAAAATCACAGAATCAACTTGGCAATTAATGCTGCTTGCAAAACTCACTACACAATATTTGACTTTTTTTCTGGTCAAGTGATAAATAGTTAGCTAGATGCTACTGTTTATCACTACATTTTCAAACCTGCTCTATATAATTTATGGGGGTTGCTTTAAAAACCTCTCTGGTTTAAAAATCTAAAGATTTCAGACTAGAAATAAGATTAAATGTCATAAAAAAAATCATTTTGCATATAAATAACACCTATTTCTCTTTAAGCCCCAACAGCATATCAATTTCTGATTAACGTTGGAAGCTAATAATTAATAATTGTGAATTTTAATGTTCTAAATCAGTTTGTTCATTAAGAATAATGATAAAGGGTTACACTTTATTTTAAGGTGTCCTTGTTAGTGTAATTCTACATTTAAGTACTGAGTAATATTAATTAACTACATCTACTTACTATATGGTTAGGGTTAGGATTAGGGTTTGGCTTAAGGTAACTTGCATGTAATTATGCATAATTTATTGTTGTAATAATAGTAAGTACATGTAACATGTGTAACAAGGACACCTTAAAGTAAAGCGTTACCTGATAAAGTTAGCAAGGTTTACGAGGAGACAGATTTTGTGTAACTAAAGTGCATTTCTCATTATTCTCTTGTGGCAGCACAAAATGATAAAATACACAAATATATCATCAATTACACTTCTAATGCACATCCTCATTATGCTGAATAAGTGCTTAAAAGCTCTTTATCATTAAGTTAAAAAGAGGGAAAGAAATATAAAATTGCCCAGCATATCCATTTTTTGTTAGCAGTATATTAGTATTCAAGTTTGATACAGTAGTCAGTGTTAAAAAACGTTCTTTGTAACAGATGAATAGTGTTTTAAATAAATCAACAAAAATAAGCTTCACTGTCATCTAACAATCTGAAATTCTGAGTTACATTATCCTCCCCAACACTGCTGAGAGAGATGAAGATGATGAAAATGGAAGGAAAATTTAAAATTTAAATGAAACTCCAGTGTTGTTACTGTTAACTTAACCTAAAACTAAAACATTTCCTTTAATTGAAACAAAGCTGTAATTAAATGTTAAAATTAGATTAGAACTTTAAATAAAACATGTAAAAGACAATTAGAAATGTTGCCTTGGCAACTAACAAATGAAAAAGTACTAAAATTACAACTAAAACTGAACAAAAATAAATATAGCTAAATAGAAATATAAAAAAATCCTAATCAAAATAACAAAAGCACAAAACAAAATTACTAAAAAATAAAGTCAAATTAAAATGAAAACTAAAAAAATGTAAAAATAAAAGCTCATTAAAAATATCAATAATATTAGTAACAGTAAATTACTTGTAATTTATTTACTTAATTAATGTAATTGTGTAGTAGGGTATGTTTTGAGTCATACCAGGACATATGAAGGCTTGTGGGAAACTCAGACCCATTTCATACCCACACTGCACTGGTCGGGCTGATAATATTGAACATCTTGAATTGAATTGAATATTGAACATCTCACTAAAGTCCTGCCAACTGGCTGCCTTTCAAAACCCCGGAGGAGCTGCTAAGACCTCACAGGAGCTGATATTACTGATCCTGCATCAATGAACCCACAAGGAGACGATTCCAGGAGCCACAAAGCCCTTTATTTACATTCTGATGAAGTGCATGAGCAGTAATGGTGGAGAGCATCCTGTAATGTTCCTTTTAATAGCAGGGGCATTAGGAGATCTTCAGCAGCAGCTCTGGCAGGTATTTGGGTGGACTGTCAGTTCATTAGTGGTCGGGAAAGCGGGGAAGAGGAACCCTGTGGCTCCAGGCCGGAGCTGCTACTGCTTGCACTGTCTCCACCTGACAATAATCTCTCTGCAGTTTGGGATCAAGTCATATTAGGACCCTAAGAGGCTTGTTAAACACCCTTCACGTTAATGAGACAGACCTGAAGCTTCCCCTCCACAGCTCTTAAAATACTCAAACTTCCCACTTGTACTTTATATTTATAAACTCCACATGCACCCAAAGGAGTGTTAAAAAACTCGGTTTGAAATCCTGAAGGGGTCGGATGCAGATTTCAGAATTGATTTCAAATTAAATATCAGCTTTAAAGCCCAAAATCAAACTGTAACGTAACTTTGCACTTGAAGTTCTACGCCTATTTTTATTTACCCCCGACAGCATGTCAATTAAAGAATAATGGCAGAAGACGATTGTTATTAGTCATAATAGAACAACTTTTTTCAAAAATGATTTTTCACTATTATTTACAACAGGATCTGCATTTTAAGGCGTTTTAAATAAAAGATTTTTGCTATAAAAGACAACAACTTTGTGCATCAAAACCACTCATTTCCTGGCAAAAAACAAACAAAAAAAACCAACACGAAACAGAATTCAGCAACAGCTGAATGTAACGATTTGACAAAACAAATGTGTCAGTCTATGAGTAACAGCCACAAAATAAACTTCATTGCATAAAATAAGTATTATGAACTACGCAAAAAACATTTAGAACGTCTCCAGCACGTTTTATAATTACCCAACTCAAACATAGTTCCCCATGATATGCATGATATCACATCCGTCAAAAACTTGGCTGTCGGTTGAAATTTTAAAACTAAAATGGGCATCAATCACTTCACTGACTGCTTGCCGGCTAAGAAATAAATAATTATTGCCTTACTATTCATCTGTTTTCAAATCCACATTCTCAAAACTAAATTTAAATATCACAACATTGATGTCTGTCAAAAAATAACATGCACAATACACAGCAGTATTTACGAGAAGCCAGCAGAGGACCAGGGAGTACATACAATTCCTGAATAACCCATACTACTTGATGTTTGATTATGTCATCTCTTTCTAAGAAGAAGCAGAAAATGCCGGCCTGAGCAGATTCAACGTGCTGTCTGTCAGAGATGATAACGTACCTAATACAAGCTAGTATAAATTTGTTCTTTGTTCGCTGAAATTGAATCTGAATGATCGGGGAACTGAGTGAAATACTTCACACTGCATGCTAAAGAGAATAAATGCCAAATCAATTGAAAAACGCCAGGTTTTTGTACATGACATTTTGACGGACATTGTCTTTTATGCACAAACTTTGCAGAATTCACACTCTGATTCTGACAATTCTGATTTGAATATTTTCAATAATTTTCTATTCTTGACTGATCTTTTTTTTTCATAATTTTGGCAAAAGATGAACTGTTAAATGAGTGATCTTGAGTCATTATTTGTCATGTGAAATCAGACAGAAAAGTGATCTGCTTTTTAATCAGTGTAAAAGGCTGTTTCACACTGAGCACGATGCGAAAAAGCGAGGTGAATCGCGACGAACGTTGCTTTCACACCGAGCGCGAAACGATTAATCGCCTTCTGCTAATTCACGCCTGCACGCTAGGTGGCGCTGACCAGCAATGCATTTTTCCTCATGTAGCCTATGTATCTCGTATATGGCTTTTACATCGTCCACTGCTTAATATACAGCATTAAATTAAGATCAATAACTTTTGGTTCTTCATCAGAAACACAAACTATCCATAATGCTTACAAAATATAATTAAAGGTACAATTAGCATCAAGCTATATTTCAAAATGTATGTAATTAATGTTTTTGCTCAAACTCCACTTTAAACCATCATTGAGTGCTTGTAATAACTTCTGATTGTGATCTAAAATGGATTTTGATTCTATAATAGGCAGACATGCACTCTTTGTATGCTATAATGGACTGAACGCTACCTGCTTGTCATAAACATCCTTTATTGTTATAAAAATACCATGAGCTGCATTAAAACAAACAGAAAATATATCATATGAATATAAATATAAATATATCTCTATGTTCAGACACCAACGACATCTCAACATCCATATTCTTTGTATGTTGGTTGAAAGTCCTCTACTTCCGTGTTTTTACGCTCGTGCTCAATACAGTCTTCTGAGCTTTTAGTGCCACCGTGTCGACCTTTTAGGTAACAGCAGTTCCTCTGGCCACGTGATGTAATGCTCAAATCTGATTGGACGACCTGTGTTTTCGCTTTGCGAAACTGAAAAGATTCGTCTGAAAAGATTCGAAAACATTCGCATTTTTGGTGCGCAAATGTTTGCGGTCTATGTGGAAGCATCCATAGGAATCTGTTGTTTTATTCCAGAGCGTCATCGCATCTGATATTCATTTCGCTTTTCTGTGCTCAGTGTGGAAAGGCGTTAAAACAATACGCCACTGACTAGTCAGCAAATCTAGCAAGATGGAGAGAAACGACCAACATACTGACTGAAGAAAGAAATAGAACTCACTAAATAATTTCTGCAAAGTAAACAAGCAAAGTGTGTATAATTCAGGAGCTCAGGAGTGAGATTTAGAAGCTCGTAAATAAGTCACAGTGAGATGCAAATCAAACCTCAGAAAACAAGAGATGCAGATGATGAGTTAGGAGAATATAAGTCTCTTTACCTTTGCCTCCTGTGCCCTGGCCTCCAGGTTTATTGTACAGGTAGATGTCATGATCGGGCAGCTCGCTGCTCAAATGGAAGTAATGCTAACAAAAGTGAGAAACAAAGAAAATGGATTTATGGAGAATGATCATTTTAAAAAGTATTTATTTATTTATTTATTTTATATCTTCATAATAACTCTAGTTTCAAGTAGGAATGCACAATATATAGATTTTTCATTGTTACTGGTCTGATTAAGATGACACTGGAAAAAAACTAAACTGTTAAATGTTGATATATGCCAGTTTGCAAAAGGCTAAATACAGACATATTGTGATTATAATCACCTGTTTGCCATTATTCAAGAAACCACCATGATTATTGCGCACTTTAAATTCTAAATACATATTGGCTTCCAAAAAAAAGGGACATGTAAGCGACTACAGACATGCAATGAAGTGTGTGTTTTTGTCTTTCCTCCTGGTGCAGTAGTGCATTATGGGAGCTCTCTAAATGAACTCTCAGTGACCTGTTAAACCAAACCGCACTTACAGAGCACGAAAGTATAAACGCATTTGCAGAGCCCTACTGCGGTCATGCTTTATCTGTGGTGCTTCGCTTCGCACTCACATGGAAATATAAATGGCTTATTGCAAACCAATTTGTTTAATTTTCTGAATATTTACGTAATCAGCAATATTTTTGGGCAATGGATTTCATCAGACCATTTTAAAATGATTTGGGAAGGTGATTAAGACAAAAATATATTTCACTTGAAAAAAAAAAAACTATTTTTATATTTAAATGTTTTGGTGTGAATTTGCAGTTGTATTTTGCAACTCTATTTTTGTTTAAACCAGGCAAAATTTTTATTAAATTCAAATTTTGTAAATTTGTATAGATTTTTATTAAGAACCTACAACAGAGCTTCTTTGATTTAAACATGTGACCATCTCTATGAACAAAAAGCACAGGGAAAGTGGTCCGTCTGTCTGTCGGCCGGTACCTTAAAGTGGTGCTCCATGTTGCTGTCAGTGTATTTGGGGATGTGGAGGAAGATGAGGAGGTTCTGACGGAGGTAGTGAGCCACCGCCTGGATCCACGGCACACAGTACTGCGGCAGACAGAACACCATCACCTCCGTCGCCAGAGAGCTGGGAGGCTGAATGAACTGAGACAAAGAGGAAAAAATTACATGCAATAACCAAAAATCATCTCCACAGTCTATTATCCAACCATTAATTAATCTCAGACGACACACCCGCTGCCGCCCACAGAAGCAAAATTAGAAAAACAGAGACCAAGCCTTCAGATGCTTTGGTTCTGGATGCATTTCAGTGATATTTCAAAAAAATCTTCAATAAAGACTTCTAAACCAACTCGCTCTGAGATGAATCACAACATTAGAAGCTTTGATTCAAAGTATTTAAAAATCAGAAAAAAAGGCACCAATTTCACACAGCTTCAGAAGACTTGAAATACAGCCCATGAGTTGTATTTTATGATACTTTTATGTCAATTTTTTCCACAAATGTCTGTCTCTGCATAGGGTGGGCAAATATAATTAATCTTCTTAATCTGCACTGAACAACCTGTGGCGAAAGAACAAGTCTGTCACAGACAAAAGATAGTCAAAAAAGAGAAAGAGAAATCACCTCCACATCTGCAGGTGTCAGTTTGCAGTTTCTGACCAGCATGACCGTAATAATGTCCAGCGTGGCCTCGTCCAGACGCTTCCTCAAAACCTTCACCAGTTCATCAGAGATCTCTGGACCTGCCCATCACAGAGCATCATATCTCACTTCAAAATATGACACAATATGGAAGTACAATAGTTCACAGATCGCAAGCAGTTTCATTTTGACTTTAAGTCTCCCGAGCAGGTGCTGAAATCCCTCAGAGCTGCTCGCTAAACCCAGAAAAGTCCCAACCAATTATAAATATGCATTTAAAAACAAACTGATGAAAAGATTTCCCTGGCTACACTTTGGGAGTGAAGTAACACATTTGCATGAAAAGAAATGACTCCTGGCCCTGATAACAGCAGGATGAATGCAGAGCAACAGCGCCTCCTGCCAGCTGCTGATGATACTGCAGGTGATGCTGGAGAATCCTGAGAGTTTAACTCTGCTAAAAATCAATGCTGTTGTTTATTGGTGGCTTAAAAAATATTTTTTTGTGAAATAAATGCAATTTCATTGTTTATCTAAATATTTCTTGCATGCTCAACATACATCTCCCGACAAAACTTTGGGCGCACAGCTGAATTTACTGTATATACAGTAAAATGACATGAGAAATATATATACAAATATATATATATATATATATATATATATATATACACACACACACACACACACAGTGTTGGGGAAAGTATTTTTAAAAGTAATGCATTACTCCATTTAAAAAAGTAACTAATTGCATTACTTAGTTACTTTTTTATTTAAAGTAATGCATAACGTTACTTTTGTGATAGTTTTTGTCACCTGGGCTGGGCTTGCTTGTTTTTGTTTTATAACAAAAAACCCAAATGTTATATTTTTTGGCAACTGTAAAGGGCCTTTCACACCAAGTTAAATTAATAAGCCTCTTCCTCTGCACCTCACTCCCAGTTTCTCTAAACGCAGGGACAGGAGGGATGTCAGTTAATAAATGCCAAAACAAAGTAACTTGCATTACTTATATGAAAGAGTAACTCCGATATTTCATTGTAAATTTAAAAGTAATTCGCTACTTTACCAGTTACTTGAAAAAAGTAAGTCTTATAATTTTACCTTGCATTTGGATTTTTTCCTTCTTTCACCCAATTATAATGCATGGGCCTTTTACGCAATATTTGACAATAAAAATGACAATAATAAAAAATAAAACACACTTTACGGTGTAACATGTTTTAGTCACTATGTTGCATGTTAATATGTGTTATAATTTACTGTTCATCTTTCGGCTTCTCCCAATTAAGGGTCGCTACAGCAGATCACCCGTCTCCATTTTGCTCTGTCCTCTAATTTTCTTATTATTTTAAATTGTGCAAAATAGTCATAGCACAGAATATGATATATATAATATATAAGAGTCGATATGGGCTGATTTATTCAACATTTGTTCCCCAAAATTAAAAGGAAGGCAGAATTGTCAGCCGTTTACACATGACTCATTCTTGCTTTCATTCTCTGCTTTTTTTTTTTTTGATTTAGACGGATGTCCTTGGTCGTTGTGCTGTGTCTTGCTGCTTTTTCAACATATTGCACTATGAACGACACGTATTCAAGAAGCTGTGTAAAGTTTAAACTTCTAAAAACGCATCTTAAAGGTGCTGTAATGTAATTTTTTGACTGCAGTAATGCATAAAAATACCGAAATATGTTTGCAGATATTTAAGAAACATGCTTGATATTTAAGATCACATACTTGTTTTTCTGAAAAACTATGCTACAGCCGGTTATTCCACTTTGAAATGTACATTGTGTCAGAATGTCTGTTTTTGTTTTGGTCTGTGTGATTCTGCCCACTGCCAATTTACCCAATAGTATTCGACACCCAGGTTTGCCAGGTTGCAGAAAACCCAGCGTACTGCAGCCATGGAATCCAACAAATGAACTGGGTTAGAGATCGCAGATTCTTAAAAGCCTTGGCATCAATCAAAAAATCTTTATGACCAGAGAAATATTAAAATGCAGATAAATCAACTCATCAACTTACAGTGTAAGGCTCATCACCTTCTGTTGTCAGTAGCGCTTGTTCCTGTTGTGTGACTTAAATCTGGCAACCCGCATAAGCATTGAGTCTGAGGAGGAGGGGGCGGGAGAAACAACTCTGCAATGGATGTGGACTGCAGTACCCATGTCAACCTCTAGCTGTCGATATTACAAACTGCACCTTTAAGATCTCTGCGCTCTATTATATTGAGTTGCGCTATATTCAGCTGCTTACAAATGCAAGAATTGGTCTGAACTTAATGGTTCCTTATTCGTTTCTGTTTCAGTAAGTGTGGCTGGTGTAGTGGTGTAACATCCCTCACAGAAACCAATGCACTTCATTCATCTTTTTTTTCATCATGGTACTGTGAGAAACATTTATCCATCTCTCTCTCTCACCTGCAGTCCCTACGCCATGCACCTGCAGCAAAATGTGTTTGTCCACCAGTCCAACCGGCCTTGAGCCTTCCAGAGAAGAGCGTGATGCCTGTGAACATGATACATGTCATCACACACTCACATAAAACATAACACACATCACATCGGGCTCACGGGAGCACGTTCTACGCCTGCTTTTCAGGCTATAAACACATAATTGCTCACATTTCCCATTTCTATAACTCGTCCCGTCAGGATGAAGCTCATAAATGGTGTAAACACAAGGACAAGTCACTCTGGAAGGCGATCTGAGCCCTAATGGCTCCTGAGGGCTCTGGTTTCCTAAAGCGTAATGAGAAGTGACAGTATGTGAATGTTACCGTGAGGTCCTCAGAGCCCAGCGGCTCCTGGCTGCGGGCCAGACCGACAGAGCGCGACACGTGCACGTTTCCATCCAAATCACTGTACTTCCCTGCCTGAGACGTCTCGGAGAGTCTGTGGAGACGGACATAAGGGACGAGGAGGTCAAGAACATGAAAAGAATTCAAATACATTCTAGCGAGACTGGAGAAGAGAAGCCACAGATGGAGAAATTAAAGAAATATTATAGTGGCAGACAGATATGAAACACATTTTCTGCTTTCAATAATTTCTGAGTGACCTACAAGTAAATATTGTGCAAAAAATATTTGTTGGGTATGGTAATAATAAATATTTGTGAATGTGTATACATATAAATTATAATGTGCCTGTGTAGACATTATATCAGTCGTCGAGATTTAGTGAAGTTCCTTTGAAATAGCAGCTTAATGAACTTAACTACAAGGGTCTAATTAAATTGAGGATGATTAAGAGAACAAGATCTTTTTAAAGGAGATGATGACAGAATTTATTTGGCAATCAGACCTGGATTTATCTTGCACAAAACAATAAGGATCGGGTGATAAAACAATGAATTAGGTAATAAATCTACAAATAAAAGAAACAAAAACCAGATAACACTATTGATTAAAAATTTGGGTTAGTAAATTATAATTTTTTTTTAAATAAATTCATACTTTCAGTTAAAAAAAGGGTGAAATTCAGTTCATGCACACCCTGGGAATTGAACCCCTGACATTGGTGTTGGAAGCAACTCTTGTTTACTCTGCTCCTCAGATACCAGCATCATTCACTGAAAAGCTCATATTGGTCAATAATATGAAGAAACGCCGAGCTTGTGACTCACCGGAGGTAGAACACAGATTTGGTGGTGCGCTCCTGATAAACAAACATGTTTTTGCGGTTTACCACACAGAAAGCGTTTAGAACGGAGCGCAGAGCCTGGATAGCTGAAAGGACCAGAGAAAATACAAGCTTAGCAGTTTTTCAAAGTTAAAACATGTTTCCATGAGGAGCCACCTGATTGGTCCGATGTGGTGTCACTCACCCCGGGACACGCCCATGTTGGGCCCCATTTTGAGGCGTGGGTGAATGTAAATAACGGTGCTCCAGACCACGTCACAGGCGAAGTAACCCGGGATGAACTGCATGGTGGCGGCAAGATAGTCCCGCGGCTGATAGCTCTCATCTGCATTGTAGTCTGAGACGGAAAAAAGGTATAATTATGGGGATAAGAGTTTCATTTTAGCAACTTCATAACAAAAGGGAGATTAGCAGGATTAGCTGAACTCAACAGAGCACCTCAAGTTGTACGATACAGATGAAGCATTTGAGCTTTCATCTCGGTGGTCGACCGGATCCAATTCATTTGCACAGTCTGAGGCAGAACGATGAGGACATTAGTGCGCTAATTCACGCTAAACAGCAGTTATAAAATTTTAGTCAATGAGGCGAGTGCTCAGACTCATACTGCTGTCTCATTATCACCACCCTTGAATTGACCTTCCCGATGGGTTTTTGAGTGGGAGTCTGTGTTTGTTTGCATTAGTGTAGATCGTGCTGCATTTTACAGCAGCTTCATCAGGTTTTATTAAATCTGTACTGCATATCAAGAGTGCAACAATATCAGCAGTTTTCATTTAAACACAGCCATCCGCACGGTGTGGGTCTGGCTGAGCACAGGGCTGCACAATTCATTCAAATAAAACTGAAATCAAGATATGGCTTTGTGCTTTTATCAAAGATGCTCAAGTCAAGTCAAGTCTGCTTTATTGTCAATTCTTCCACATGTACAGCACATACACACAGAGAATTGAAATTGCGTTACTCTCAGACCCTTGGTGCATACAGATAACACTAACAGTAGAACATAAATACAGATATACAGATTAAATATAAAATACAACTATACAAATATACAAATATGGTCAAATGTAAAAAAAATATATAAAAAAAAATACATATAAAGCAGCACACGGCAGATAGAGTGCAAACCAGTGAAGTAAACAACAGTGCAGATATAATTATGCTGCACTTTAATTAAAAAGACTGCAAAAATGATTTTCATCTTGTTTTCCAGTACAAATATATAAATATTCTTAAATCAGTTAACATAAGATACTAAGTCTCGTGCATCTTCTGCATCAAAATTAAGCAAGTTTTAATGCCTAAAACAATAGCCAATGGGATCAGAAAAATCCAACTGATTTAAGTTCGTGTTTTTTTTTGTGTTTTTTTTTTTTTTTATATGATTGGCAGATAGCTTTTCTTGTTTTAAGCAAAAACTTACTTAAATTTTATTTTGATAAGAATGTTTATATATTTGTGCTGAAAAAAAATATATTTTTTGCAATGCAAGAGTTCGGGTCTTGTCTTGGGTCAATGTGTTTCGAGATATATAATCAGAAACGCTTTTAACCAGCTAAAATAATTTCCTTATTTTCAAACATTAAAACATCAAGCTTTTAAAGCAGCAATAAATATTGCAACATTCACTGCTGTACTGTCAAATAAATTATTTTACAAATATTTTAAATATTAGATTTTTTATTTTGCAGTAAAATAGTACAATCTTAATATTTCTTATTTCTTATCTTGATATATTTCCAAAATTTTTTTTTGCCAAATCTGCTTTTTTTTAATTGCGTTTTAAAACTTGCAAATCACAATTTTATCAGAGCGATAAAAAATATAACTAAATAAGTAATTAAATACATACATACAATCTCAATTAGATAATTGACTCTGGCATGTGCATGGATCTGGAGCAATAAGAGTGAAAGAGATTAATATTTCATGCATATATGTTTTATTTAGTCATTAGAAATAGTAACTCACAGCTATTTAACTTTTAACCTTCAGCATCAGTTTTATTTAGTAAAAATCAGTATGGGCTACTCTCCCATCTCATTTGGCATTAAAGACTCCAAATGTGTGATGAAATTAAAAGGAAATGGAAAAGCAAAGCAGACTGAGCTGGAACGTTTGGTTCCATAAGTATGCTTTTTATAGATGAAGATTAATATTTTCGGACAGATTTAGGCCTAGCTATTTTTAAATACGAAAAAACATGCCTACAAGTGATTAAAAGAAAATCGTCACTTCCTGTCAAGGAGGTTGCGACCCCTGCTCTGGCATGCATATGGCTGCTGCTTGCAGAAAGAGTGTGTGTCAGTCATTCGGCGGTGGCATTAAGTACTGTACCGTCTGAGTTGGTCATCCTGGGCCTGTAGAGCGACTCGTGCTTCCAGATGTCCTCTTCGCTCTCAGCCACTAAGAGAGAGTGGCACACGCGACTGTCATGCAAGTCCTGCAGTAGGAGGCGCTGTGGAGAAAGTCAAGGGAGGTTAAACAGTAGAAAAGTGGAAAGCAGCGGTTAAGGATCTGAGGCGATGGCCCGGAGATAGTGGGTCTTTCTGAGCAGAATGAGCTGCAAAATGGACCAGACTTCATGCTGAGAGTGAAAAGGCTGTTCTTTACCTGGTTGACTATTCGGCACATTTCTCCAATCCTCCTCACCACCAGCTGATGAAGACGCAGGTACTCTGGGATCTCCTCCTCTTCCTCCTCCTCTTTCTCTCTGTTAAAACTCCTGCCAACACAACGCTCAAGATTCACAACACTACAAATTGTTTTAACATTCTCAGCTGGAAAATGCAAAACTCAGTTTTGTTTGCATGTCTGGGGAAAAGCGTTTGCAATTTCAGCACTACAAACAGACAAGCTGCTCATTTGTATGCTTCATGTATTTAGAACACAACTGAACACAAAAACTCATTTATAGGCATAAAACTTACAAAAACATGAGGCATATTTCCACGAATGGGTAACTAAACTCTTTCCATAAATTACAGATTTTTTTTTCCTCATAATAATTTT